GGAGGGGCGCCCCGTGCCCCCTGCGTCCCGGGTCCCGGAACGTCTCTGCCTCTCAGTTTATCCCATTTAAGTTGCACGAACTAAGCCATTTTATTTATTTTGGCCTAGATTTCGTGTTTTTCCATGAATGTTTTAAGTAGCCTCTACCAGACAACTTACAGGTTTCCCATTGAGGAGAACACACGTATTGGAAACCAGAGGGCCCAATTCCCGGAGCACATAAACATTTTAAACTTCTAGGTGGGGATGCGGAGGGACTTAATTGAATTGGAGACGTTGCAATGATGTATGAAGACCTCATTTTATAACCCAGCTAGAGAGAGAGCTGCAGTTGCAGCCTGTCAATTTTCTCCCTAATTGTCTGTATTGACCAAATAATCAATTCACTTTTCATAGAGGGACCAAATTAAATATTTTCCACATTTTTGTGTGATGAGCTGAGTCCATCTTGAATTTTTTATTAAGGGTATACGTTTTAATTTAAAAATCCTCTTGCTTTCCACTTACCCGTGAATTACTAAACTATAAAAGGCACCCAATGCCCCTCCTCAATCAGACTGAACCCCCAAACTAAGCTTGCAAAGGTGACATCGGTATTTTTATCTCAAATGTAGGACATTCTTCATCCAAGGGTAGTTTATGTCCACGTGGGTGCGTTGTATGAATGTAGAAGGTGGTGGTGGGGGGGTGACTAACAGGTTTAAAAATCTGCTAGTGTCTCCCTAACTTGGCTTAGGACACATGGCCTCACCCAGCCTCAGCCGGGGGATTACAACAACAAACCCCTCAATGTCTTTCTCCGAAGTGCAATCTCTTATGTTGTGCTGTATTAAGATTTCTTTTTTGTGTCATATTGTTTAGCTCTGGGAAAAAAAAGAAAGAAAACAAAGCAATTAAAAAGATTGACAGGTATGGCTTGTGAGAGACCTATTTGTAATTGTCAGGGTGACGTTGCGAGAGGAGGAGTAACGCGAGGCAGGAACGCGGCTCGATGTGTCTGTCTATCAGTTGAGACTGTCTGAAAGCTCTGCGATCGGAATGTGTGTTATATTTCACTGGAAAGAGGGGAGAGCGAGAGTGCATCTCCCTCTCTCCCAGGAGTTTGGGGGGGGACGGTCCGCGCGCATCTCGCCCGCCCAGTGAATGTCTGCTCTGCGCCCCTTGGCACACACTCTCCGGGTTGTTGTTGTTGGCTTTTTTTTTTTGGGGGGGGG